AGCAATAATAATTCGCAAAATTTAGGGATAAAATCTAATAAATATAAGTAGAAAAATTATCATTATCGTCATTATCGTCATCATTACAGTTATCATTGTAAAAAAAGCCGTCATGGCTTATCACCACCGCAAGTACAGCAGTGGCGAGCTGAAAGCATGTGAAGAAGCCTTTAGCAGCCGTTTTCATCATCGTCATGTAACATTTGTTATCACCGCCATCGCCACCTCCACAAGAGATCATGACCACATTATCACCATCACCATCACCATCACATTCACCATCATCACCACCTTCATTATCATCTCCATTATCACCATCGTCATCATCATCACCACTAACCACTACCACCACCACCACCACCATCATCATCATCATACGGATGTACATAATATTTTCTCACAAATCCCACGGTCAAGTGAATAGCCTGCGTCAACAGGAGCAAAGTTTCGCAAAATTTCAATTAGTTTAAAAAAAGAACTTATTTATTTCCTTTTGGAATAATACATCATATTTTCATATTTTTATGAATTATGCTAAAACAATTATTTAAAAAAATAATGATAAATAATAATGATAAATAATGAATAAATAAATTAAAAACAAGATAAATAAATAATAATAATGAATAATAAATAAATAAATTTCATGATCTAGAATTCCTGTTTCGGTACCCATAAACCACCGGACGTGTGATTGGAACAGTTGTTTCAGGAGTGCCCGAATTTAATATCTTGAAAAAGGAGTAGATTTATTTTTTGTTAATCGGGCAGGGTTCGTGTGACTTCTTTTTCTGAACGGGGACAAGAGTTTTTAGTAACGTCCTTTCCAGATTTTTTATTGTTTTATAGATATCTAAATCATTTATCCGAGAATCCAAAAACTTTCTACTTTTTTGCTTACAAACTTGTGTTAGGGTTTCTAACCAGCGCTTTTTTTAATATATCTAACACCACTTTTCGTATGTGTTTTCAGAAAGAATTTTTGTTGGGCTTTCTTACCCCAACTTGCTATAGGGTTTTTAACCCTAACCTGCGCTAGGGTTATTAACCCAAACTTGCACCAGTGTTTCTAGCTTTCGCTAGGGTTTCTAACGCCAACTTCCGCTGTAATTGTTTAACCCCAACCTGCATTAGAGTTTCTTACAACAACTTGCTATAGGGTTTCTAGACCCAACATGCACTAGGGTTTCTAACCCTAACCTACGCTAGGGTTTCTAACGCAAACTTGATCTAGGGTTTCTAACCCTAACTTGCGCTAGGGTTTCCTCAGGAGTATTAATAAGGCATGGGTCTAAATTGACTCTTGCAAATCAAGAGGGGGTGGTCTATCTCCTTAACTATGTAGAAT